GAGGCCGACAGCGTTCACTTGGGTAGTTGTAGGCTGCGTAGGTTCCCATTCCATCATGTCTTCAGGGGAAACTGCTGTGAGCGTGGCATTATTTGATTTTGCTGGTGGTTCATAGGTTAGTGCATTTTCAGCAGTTCGGCTACCGTAACGGCGGGTTGTTTTCGTCCATTGGCCGAACAACTCCATGTCGTTGCTAAGATCTACACACTTCTGAGCGAACCTTGCGTATATGCTTGTTTCTGCTCCTGATGTACCAACAAGCCTATCCTTTATCCTACCACTTAATGCATTGCGTAAGTAGGATATCTTCGTATGCTCAGGCCAGCTTTCTGCGTCAGCGTTGGCCATCTCTTTCTCAAACCGTGGATAGAAGGAAATAAACGTCTCGTCGTCCTTCTGGCGTATAGAGTAGAGGTTCTGAATGGCTTTCTCCTTCCGATTTCGTTCGCCGTAGAGGAGTTCAAGGCGGTCAAGCAGCTTGAAAGGGTTTGGCGATTCTTCTTTAACTTGTATCTCGTAGTATGTTGTAACGTTGGTTTTCGCTGCCCCATCAAGACGCATGTAGACGTAGCGTAGCTGAGCTTTTAGGCTTCCAATAGCTTGCGCGTCTTCTTCGATCTTGCCCTCCATCTCTAGCTTCCATCCTCGCCATTGTGATTTGTTTCCACCAAACGTAGGCGGGTGGGGTAAGCTGTGCCGCGGCTTTGGGGTTATAGGCACAGATGTGTTCGAAGTCTCGGAGGTTGGCGTTGGATCAGTGGTGGCGTCTGTATTGTGACCAGGCGTTTGAGGTAGCTCGTGCGATGGTGCTTCCAGCCTCTCCATCCTAGTGCTCATGTCTTCAAGTCTCTGTAGTAGCGACTGTAACAGCTGGTTCGAATCGTTCGTCGTCATGTTAGTATCCCCGGGGGAGCTCATTATAGCGGTGCTTTGGTTGCTGCGTGTTCTGCGTGTTCTGCGTATTCTGCGTATTCTGCGTATTCTGCGTGTTCTGCGTGTTCTGCGTGTTCTGCGTATTCTGCGTGTTCTTCTTGATCTTGACTGTATGTGAACGGTCTGTAGGGACTGTATTCCAGCTACCTAGTCCAGATGCTATTTACAGTCAAGATGAAGAAAGAAGGTAAGACGCAAGCGGCGAGCCTGCTTTGTTTGGGTTGGCGCACGGCCCTCACGTTGCCGGGGAAGCGACTAGGCTAGCAGCCTAGTCATGTGACTCGAGGCTCAGCCCGTTACACAGAAACCCACCTACTAGAAGGTTTTACGTCAGATCCAGACGCTATAGCACTAGTAGTACAGAAAGGAAACCATAAGTTTAATATCTTCAACCTATACAACGAGAGAGGTATAGGAGATATAAAGACTATCCCAAGAGTTCTTCTAAACACAAACACAAGACTACCAGAGTCATCTATTCTACTCCTAGACGCAAATGAGCACCACCCGTGGTGGGACCCACTATGCACATCGACGAGCCCAGGAGCACCCCCATTTGTAGAATGGATAGAAAGCCAAAACCTTAGCCTTCTAAACACACCAGGAACGGGCACTTTCTTTAGGCCACACCTATCAAGAGAATCAGTTTTAGACCTATCCCTAGTTACCCCAGACCTAGCTGACAAAGCTATTGACTGGCAAGTCACTACGGAGACTGGATCTGACCACTACGGCCTACTCTTCTCAATTCGATCAGACACCGACCAAGTAGACAATCCAATAAACCAACGCAAGTTTAACACAAAAAAGGCGGATTGGCCACTTTTTCAAAAAACCCTAAACGAGGCTATTCAAAACAACATCACGCTACAGCACATAAGCGAGATAAACGACCCTAGGAAACAAGATTGCAAGAATCTAATTCTAGAAGAGGACCAGGAGCTTCAAAGCAAACTAGAGGAGATAGGGGAAGCAATTACGCAAGTTATCCAACTAGCAGCTGACAAAGCAATCCCAAAAGTCAAACTAGGTCCTAAACCAAAACCCTGGTGGAACCAGGAGCTTACTAAGCTAAGAAGAGAGCTTACTCACTGCCAAAGAGTCTACACACAACAATTGCAACAGTTGTCCATCCAAGAGGCATATCTATTCAAGAAAGACTTCTTAATAGCGCGGAACACCTACGCAAGAGCAATCAAGGATGCCAAGAAGAGACATTGGAATAGCTTTCTAGAACAAGAAACCCCACAGTCTATCTACAAAGCTATGGCATACACAAAGGATCAAAAGGTCGAAAAGATTCCACCTATCCATGGAGAGATACTAGAGAAAACATTCAAAGGAAAGTGCAAGGCCTTTAGAAAAGCACTGTTCCCTCCTCCTCCAACAGCAGAACTACCAAGCTTTCTAAACTATCAAGA